GTTCTTTTTTTTTCCTTTTAAAACTCCTTCCTTCTACTTCGTCGAATCCTTGGTGTCTTGTTGTCGATGATGAAAAACCCGGCGACAAAAACCCGGGATGTACGTTTATATTTCACTTTTACAATAATGGAAATTATGTCCATTGTCCAAGAGCAGTTTCTAGAGTCATTGTTAACCCGTGGTTGTTCAAGGCATTGTCAGGACTAGTTCGGTTATTCGCACGGCTCCGACTTTGCTTCCATCAAAGAGAGGCACTGCGGGGAGGATGGTTGCCAACGGATAACTATGGCCCGGGCTCTAGCCCTTCCGTCCGTAGAGATAAAGGATGTGTGGGTCGACTTGTGCGGCCCCGAAATCGCGTTTTTGCTTCTTCCCCAGCCTAACTCATGTTGTTGTTTTCGCTTTTGCCCGTCGTGGTATATTAGATCGGGCTTATCTCCGGTGGCCGTTCTTGCTTCTTTGTCTGGTCCGCGATGGGCTGTAAGTTTGGTGGCGTGATTCTGCTCTGCTTGCGCTGCTATCCAGGCAAGCTCGACTTTTATGTTGTCTTCGTTGCTTTAGGTCCTCCCTTTGCCAGTTGGTTTGGTTGTCGAAAGGAAAACTCGGCTTTACCGGTTGGTTTAACATCGACGTGTGTTGCATATTGATTACCGCGTTGTGTTCCGGGTGTTATGGTAGTGTTCAGGAACATTGACGCCGGGCTGTACGAGGGAAGGAGGTAGGTAATCTCGCTCGTACGGCCGCTCCATAAGCCGCGTCATCCAGCTGCCTGTACAAGTGCCGGGCGATAGACGGCTCTTATAGAAGGCACTAATGGTCCCGGTGATGGTATGGAAACCGGATTTGTACCAGCTCTACTTCACAGTGAAACAATATTAAGCGGGGTTAACTGAACAGAAGCGTGGAATGAAACATAGTAGGGTGAGTTGGCTTGCGGATGAGCCACAAACAAGGTCAGTAAAGCAATGACGCCGTTCTTGAGATACTAGAGCTTGGAAGAGGCACCCATCCAGGAAATGATCCCTGGCACCGGGAAAAGCGATAGTACATCGGCCTCTGCGACATGTGGCCTGTATCCTGCAGAGGTTAGTAAGAACAGCTCATGTGAAGGTACTTGACTAGCGTTGGTGATGTTCTGACGGAAAAGACTGTTTGTAGATGGGTGCGCATGACTTCCAACGCCTTTCTGCTTCTCATTGTCCCTGCCTGCACTTTTTTTTGGGGTCAAACACTGAACTCTAACCAAACCAACTTCTTTTAGGAAGCCTGGGTTCCTTCCACTGCCCCTTAGGTAACTATAACCTTCCCTCTACCACTCTCGCAAGGATACACCAAAGGCCTTGTTCCGTTTGAGCAAATCATTCTTTTTACGCGTCGTCGTCGAGTGGTACCTGGTATGTTAGACCCCGATGAGCAGCCCTGGGCATCCGCTAGTGAAGCCAGCCTCTACACTTTTGTACTTCACCATCCTGTTGTGCAGTGACAGGGCCCTTCCTCCCTCTCTCGCCTCATTTGCCACGCACCGAAGACCGTACTGAGCTCAACATTATTTGACACAAAACTCGAAGAAGGTCCTTTCTATTGAACCGGACAGTCCAGCAAGTACCTGGTCTTTGAGTCCGATGTAGTTTCTACCACCCAAACTACATATTCTCTTCCCAACAGCAGGAAGACAATGTAAGCACTCCCACAAGTGATCCTGGCCCGAGATGTTCTGTATTGTCCTAAGAGTAGCCCCTTTTCCCGGTAGGGAGCAAAAGCTTCTCGTTAAACGTCACTTAAGTCCCGTGGCGATTTCACTACGACGTATTTTCCGCGTCATTTCTCTAGCCTATAACCGATACGCAAGGACCATTATAGGGGGGAAATTGGACCAAAACAGTCCCGTTCGATTTCGAACCACATCGTTTGTTGTTCAGCGGCTAGTCGCGGTACCCTCTCATCAGATGTGTCACGCGTCCGGCTGAACCCTCCCTTTGGAATATACCCGGACGGACAACCTCTCGGACGGATAGCGGGAATGTTCCCGTGCTACGCAAATTGGCCACCCCTTCGGACGGCGGCAGTGGACAAGCGCTTTTGCTAACTCTGAGATGTTACAGATATCATCTCAAGCCACGGCTTTCGCAACTTCACCGCGATGGCATCCCCTCTCTTCCACGGGGGTGTCTATATTCACTATGACCGCACTGACGCTTTGCGGTACGCTGCCTGGGCTGTGGAGTCTCCATCCACGACAAAATACATTCACCTAAACCTGTTTTGTGATGTATCGTGGGGGGTGAAGTTTGATTCTGGGGGGGATTGCCGTCGTCTTCTTCAACTGGCTTCCCATCACCCGAACGAGAGAAGGCCAGACGTCAATTATACCAATCGGCCTGGCCAATTTATCCCCTCCATAGCAGCGGGGTGGGCGAGCTCCTCGCGGTGTCGGAGTGTCTCCATGCTGCGTCACAGGAGCTTGCAAGGCACGCCGACTCCCCAATGCTCGCCGGAAAGACGGTTGTTGTTCGCATCTTCAACGATAACCGCAGCAACCTAGAGTTTCTACAAGGGACACGATCCATCAGCGCCAGCCTTTTTGCCACGGCCGCCCCCGTGCTGCGATCAATCGTCCAGCAATCCCACGCCATCCACCACCACAGCGTCGACGTCCGTCTAGAGCTCCACTGGATCCCCGGCCACCACCGCACCGTCAAGCCGCACGCGCTTACGGACCAACTCGCCCGGACAGCGCGGAAATCGCGGCGGGCGCTCACCACAATCCCTCCGCGATACTGGGTCGGCCCGGAGGAAGGGCCCATGTTCCGGTCGCTCAAGGCAGAGCTGTACCGGGCGTCGAGGACGGCGTTGTGGTACACGCCCGACGTTTGGAAGCGCTTCTTTCGCTGGCCGTGCCCGCCTCCGGTCCTTCCGGACCCCCGGGCTCTGTCTTGATGGCGATGCCGGAGTCTGGCGACTTGATTGTTTATGCCACACAACGTTGGCAAAATACTTGGCGCCCGCTCCCGGTTGCGAAACGGCTCGCCGACCGGAAGAGGGGGCTTGATGGAATTGGGGAATGGGGGTGTTTAACATGAGATGCTTTGGATGTGGGAAGGGATATAGAGGCTTGTGGGATTGAAGACGCAGGATAACATGTGAGGGTTACCTAGCGATAAGGGCATTCAAGGAAGGTGTTGGGTTAGTTGCTACGGGTATCTGCATGGTCATATAATCCGGTATGCTGGCTTTTGCTACGTTTTCTTCATATGAATCACGAACCAACATAGCGCACTGAGTCGCCTACGTTATCTAAGCAGATGGAATTCCGGCTACATGCCGTTTGCGGCCTCCAGTGGTGGTAGCTAGCGGTCTATTTCCCCGTCCCCTACAATCTCATTAGGGGTCCTCCTCGGGTTGGGCCTCGCTAGCGGCTTGCACCGCGTCAAACATGTCGTCGAGTTCGGGATAATCCCCTGCAGTCCTGACGTCCCTTGTCGGTATTGGTTTGGTGGGTGGATACTTGCGCTCCCAAGGGTCGCGGAAGATGTGATGCAGTGCGATCGCATCCCATGGATCGTGTCGATGCCGGTTCGCTTGCGATGCTAGGATGGGGAAGGGACCGGGCATTACCGGGCCATCGGCAAGTAGAAAGTCTACTAGGTCGTTAAATTGGGTATCGAGGAGCTTCCAGACACGGAATGTTGTTTGTCGCCGGCCGGAGTGGAAGTAAATATCGTTGCACTGCCCGCTGTTAGGTTCCGTGTTGGTTAAGCCTGAGTCAGGGGCTGACCACGTACCTCAGACCCCAACACCCCTCTGTCAAAAACGACGACACCGCCGAAAATGCGATCTTCTGCCCAGTAACCTGCTACATCGGCCATCCCGCACGGGTACTGCTCATGGTCCATGTAGTCGACATGATAGAACAAGGTTGGGCGGGGTTCCAGCGGCTCCTCCAGTTCTCGACGACGACCCTCCCCAACCCACTGCGGTTCCCTTTTCCAAGACACTACTGAGTCGATGTGATCTTGGCTGTGTAGCTTGTTTTCTGACTGGAACAACAAGACGCCGATATCGTGTACCACGTTTGCAACAAGTTCGACAAGACGCAGCTTGAACCCACCAGACCCTACTGGGCTGTTTTGGTAACTTTGCAGGGTCTTGTCGCTGTTAGTTACCTCAAAGATAGTGGCTGAGAAGCATCTACGTACAACCGAGTCGAATTGAAGACTTGTAACATCGAAATTGGCGCGAAAGAACCGAACCCGTTCGAGCGCGCCCTCGCACACTTTGCCATGGCCGATCAGGGGGTGTCCTCTGAGGATGAGAGACCCGCGCATGTCCCAAACGGTATCGACGATTGGAAGGCCATCGACGAGCTGGGCATAGGTGGTCTCTGCGAGGTCGGTTGATAAAACATTGCGGATGGCGTGGACGAGGGGGCTGTAATGGCCAACATCGAGAACCTCGGCTGTCAATTTCAGCCGTTGCTGCTGACGGTTTTGCATCGTGACCTTGTTGCTCCTCGCTGGGGGATTTGGTTGCCTGATTGAATATGTGATGAGGGATTGAATGATTTTACAAGAACTGGAGATGTTCCATGTCGGCTTGCGCCACCATGACACGTTGGGCCTCGGACTGCTGGACTCCACCGCGATTTTGTTGTTCCAAGCCGGCCTGAGTAGGATTATGGATGTGGAGGATGAGACGGCCAGAAAAGCCAATCCGGGGATGGGACCCGGGGAATTGAGTCGAGGCTTGGTGGTGATATGAATTACCCGGTATAATCCCACTATTCTTACTTGATGTTCTAAGAGATGGGCCATATCTGAAACAAACCTCCTAGCGTCCAATCTGCTCATCCTCAATCCTGACGGATGAGTGAGAGTCTTGTGGAGACCTCGCTGACATTTCGCGGCATCCAATGGGTTTTGGTGATGTGCTTTTGGGGGCTGTGTACAAGTAGACCCACACAAGATTCAGCAATGCAAGAGGATGTGAAGGATTGTGGCTACAAGAACATTGGCATGTAGGTTGGTCGCAAGACAGAAACTAGGCCGTAGAGAAGGTCTCGATGTTAGTGACCGGTTGAGACTTGAAATACTGTATAAAAAGTCAAGTCGCCGACGATTTACAAAACTTCAAAACTCGGAATGACCAAGCAACAACACACTTTTATTGCATTTAACCACACCTCGTTTTCCAAACCCGCATCTCTTTTCATCATGTCTAGTTCTGACAAACAGGGTACTGGCACTGGCAACCCTACGACCCCAAGGCCGCCGAAGACAACAACCACACCTTCAAAGTCGACAGGCTCGGTTCAAAAGGCGACCAGCAGCACCACCACCGCCGCGCAGAAGCCCAAACCGGTAGTTACAAAGCCCGCTGCCGCTAAGCCCAAGCTTGTGCCGGCCTCCGCATGGGACGTCAAGGGCCTTCGGGTGTTGGTACCGGACAACAAGGGGGGCTTTGAGAATGTTCCACCCGGGACCAATGTCTTCGACTGCACGGCATCCATCATCAGCATGGCTCTGGATCTTTTGGAGACCCGGTCCAGCATCATCGCGCTCAGGATGCACACGACCAGGGTTATCGATGCCAGCCAGCACCTACCCAAGGTGAGAAACATCCAGGACGACGATATCGAGCCCACAATCCGGAGGTACCTCGCAACCATCCGCGCCAGCTTTCCCCACGTCGTGGTCTCCGACAAGTACGGCATGGCCACCATGAACGGCCGCACCAACAAGAGGGAGTGGAAAGAAGGGGCCGACCCCAAGACGGCGACCGTTATCGAGCTCAATGCCATGGGTAAAAATCCCCCGCCCCCCCCCCCCCCCCCCCCCCGGAAAACGAATGAGGACAAAACCCAACTGAAATGCCACGATAGCTCGTGGGCCGGGCAGCGGGGGGGCACAAAGCGCTGCCAACCGGTAAATCGGCCACGAACATGCGACGGTTCCGCAATCTGCACATGCGGCTGTCCATCACCATGGCGCACGAGCTGGTGCACGTGTACAACCTGTTCCTGCAGGGCGGGCAGCACAACCACACGCCGCCCAACGTCAGCTACGGGCCGTACGGCGACGACAGGGTGGGCGAGTCGGGCCGGTACTGGGAGTACTGGACGCTGGGCGGGTGGGTGGACATGCGGGCGGACGGCAACGGCATGGAGACCATCGCGCTGCGCGACAGCCACGGGCAGAAGGCGTGGGTCATCAAGCCCGATGCCGTCGACGGCCTGCTCGGCCGCGAGTTCAGCAAGTGGCTGCAGCCGAGCACGCCGCTCAACGACGAGGAGCACCCCAAGGGGCAGTTCGTGGACAAGATCACGCCGCTGAACTGGAAGGACAGGTACACCGATGTGTTTCCGAGACCGGCGGCGCCGGTTAAGGGTGCGGCGGCGCCCCAGGTCGAGTTTACGCCAAAGCAGGTTGCTGTCCTGATGGGGGCGGATATGATGAGGACGCCGAAGTACAATGTGTGTGGTAATGACTTGCAGGCGTTTGGGTTGGACCCGCGGACGAAGCTGCGCTTGGCCGCTTAGGTAGGGTTGGGAGGGGATTATCTGAGTGGGTGTTGGAGCTGGTCTCGCGTGGATATCAGCATCGGGCAGGTTGAGTTGGATACGTAGAACGTAAATAACACATTTCACCGATGGAAAGAGTCGAGTCTCCTATCTCCATGTTGTTGTTGCTGATTTGGTAGCAAGTACTTGGCGCAGGTGCAGCGAATGATGAACCGAACCGCAAAATCTCCCGCCGTGGAGCAAACAACTGGTCGACAGCGTCTCACGTTTGCCGGCGCCGTTTCACTGCCAACTCATTTTCGCCAGCCAAGGCCAGAGAAGAGGAATCGAGCCGTGTCACACGTGGGAAGCAAGGGTTTGCAAAAGCCATCCATCCATCCCCACTCGCTTGGAGCATAAAGCTCACGAAACAGCGCGATCAAACAAGCTCCAGTAAACTAATAGCAAATTGAACCGAACAAATCTCAGAAATTGAACGCGGCATTGATTGCGCCCTGGGCAGAACGGTTGGGAGACGGTGACTGGCGGTTGGTTTCTCGTGCGTCTTGGAAATGTGGACATGTTGGGTGCACGAGCACGCGACGGGGTTGATTCAGGTCTGGAGCAAAAGGAAGAAGCTGTGGGGGGTTTGGGTTTTTCGGACCGCACCTCGTGGGGGTGGAACCGTTGTGCCGTTTTGCAATGATTTGCAACGATTTGCAACGACTTGCAGCAACTCTGCATCGGCTCAATCAAGTCGGAACAAGACAGCCGAACACAGCAAGAACATTCGTTCGAAACCCCTCATTCCTTCGAAAAACCGTTCGCTGGCAAGAAATCCCAGATAACCTCGCATCGAAGGGAAGTCTTTTTCCCCGCCATCCTTCGCCCACTTCGCGACATGTTCTCCTGCATCGCTAGTTCTTCCCAAGTCGTCCGGACTTGCCCCATTTCGTCTATGGTGCGCTCTCTGGTTGCAAGCAAGTGGGGAGAAAGCGACGTTAGCTTCTTGGACTCGTGACGGACCCTTGTCTGTCCCCATTCTCCCGCGACCCTGAGCCCTGATGAGTGGTCAATGCACCTGCAGAACCTGTGCTCGGATCAGCGATCGCCAGGGGAAATCAGCAGGTCCGGGGGAACAACACAAGTGGGCACTGTCACGCTCAGTCAGGCCCGGCCGCCCCAAAATGCAGAGAGGCAAGCGCGAAGCCACGAAGCTCACAGTGGGCCGGTTTGGGGAATTGATTTTGAGGTGGAGCCGGCCTTTTGACCAGGAGCAACAGCCAACCGGGATCCCAGCTCCAGAACACGGACTCCACTATCTTCGCTCTCCAGGGGATTCCCAATGCTGCCCAGTGGCATCCACTCGACTCTTGCCCCAGCAGCTCCGTTTTGTTCTCGACTTTTCCTCCCTCCTGTCTTTTCTCTCCCAACCACCCGTTCAACCCCACGATCTCTTTTGGATAGCGTATCTGGACAGCAGTCTACCAGCCACTCATTGGTTTCTTTTCTTTCCGATCCTTCTGCAGTTTGCAAACCTTGGCCCGACGCCCACCCCCAAGCTCCCCCGAAGCGAAATTTCCCGCTGAAGAGCCCCGGCGATCTCTGAAAGCTCTCGCCACTATTCAAAGACATCATACTCCGACCAAGACACGATCGTCATCTGTGCAATATTAGAAGTCGATACATTGCAATCCCCCGCCAACACGCTCCATTGTCTGTTCTACTCGTCTCCGAATTCTCTGCCAACACACCCACCTACGAACGACTCCCGATAGCTACCCTCCGATCTTTCCGGTCTCTTCCCCCCAACAGACGAACGCTTCCGTTTCACACGCGTAACACACCCCCGACCGTCACAATGGGACTCATCGAACGCATCCAAGCCAAGATCGAGCTCTTCCGCCTCGAGCAGCGCTACACCCGCCGCCGTCATCGCCGCTCGACCTTTGTTTCCAACGCCATCTACGTCGACGGCGAGTACATCTACCAGTCGCCCAACACAACCGGCTCGTCGGCCAACACGAGCAGGACCGCCAGCACACAGAACTCGTCCCCGGCCTCCGCGGCACCGTCGCCCCCTCCCACAATCACCGACAGGTACGACAACTCGGCGGCGGCGGCTGCAAGCAAGGAACAGAAGAGGTTGAACCGCTGGTCGTCCATGCCCGGGTTCGGATCCAACTCCAAGCCAGACGGCATGGGCGGGTTACCGCCCGTCGGGGAGCACGACTGGAGAAAGAGGGTCAGCTTCGACGAGAGGCGGTACTGAGCGGCAGCGCGTGAGCAATTTTGGTTCAATTGGGTTTGGTGTTTTTGGATATTCGCTTTTTTTTATTGCGGCGGAAGGGATTCCGCCCCATGCCTTGTTCAAGCGCAGCAGCAACCGGTATGCCGGACTGTCACGACAGCGCCCGGGATGATGTCGTCTGTACCTCCGACGTCTGTCGGCGTCCGCCGGGCGCGGTCTGTCTCGGCTGGTTGTGCCATTGTGGCACTGCGTCACGGCTCACTTGTCGACTGGATTTCCAGTACGACATGGCCGGCCTGGGTGCTCGCTCAGGCGGCTTCCCGGCCGGTTCTGCTGCCGCTTTCATGACAAAAGTTCTTGCTCGTCATCCGGACTCGACATTTTTATGGAGCATTTTACGACCGGTCTGATTGTTGCCGCGATCGACCACATTTTCTACAATACTTCCCAAGGTTCCAAGCATGCTATGCTACGAAGGGGGAATGACCATTGGTTTGGGGTTTATACTGGGCGGCCAAGACACTCGGGCATGGTTGACACCATTGCATGGTTCCGATGCTGTCCAGGCGTTGTAATTACATGAGGATGTTATCCTGGCGCCGGCTACAGCCGGGATGGACGATGACGCTGCCCAGGGGCGCGCTTCATGTACATATGGGTTAATAACGACGTCCGTCCCATCTACTTTTTGGAGATGCCTTCAATATTTTTCTCAGCGTCCTGTGCTTCCCGTCTTGTGCCGGCAGCGTCGGTATGGCAGGTTGCTCCGGGCTCGCCACCGGCCCGCCCAGGTGGGCCTTGATCGTCAATTGTTTCACATTGTTCATTCAAGTAGTTATTTCTGGCGTGGCGTGTGGATAGTGATCTGCAGTTTAGTATCCAACGACTCATGACCCGGACATACCAACACAACTGATGAAGAGCAAGCGCCTCAGTAGTCCTCCTCCCCAGCGTACTCGCCCAGCTATACGTCCATGTGCTTGCGGCGCTGTTAGAAGGTCGAGTCAGCACCGGCACCCTTCCAGAAAAGGGACCACTTAAGTTGCAATCCTCGTTCGGATCGCCGCCAGGACGGCGACCACCACCCAGTGAGCCGGCTGCAATGGACGTCCTGCAAGGAGCGAGCAGAATGCGAGAAAGGGAATGGCACATGGATTGAGCCACAGTTCGGTAGATATTCAACAATCCACTCTGACAATATAAACACAACTGATGAAGAGTAGCGCAGCGCATCGAGCTAACTACGCAGAAGCGAATGCATCTCTCAATTAACTCTTTGCTCCACTCCGACCGCCTTACCACCAGAAACTCCCCGCTCCGAAGCCGCCAACACACCCCTTGATCTATCTTGCAACATTTACATACCATCCATGCCCTGGCCAGGGAGGTGGTCCAGCCCTATAACACATATGTCAGTCATCATCATCGACCGCGTTGCGGGGATGCGAAAGGGGGCGGGTGGCCACGGAAAAGGGGCAACCACAACCACCACCACCACCACAACAACAAAACAAAGAAACCCAACTCACAGCCATCCAAATCCTCGTTCACCTGGCTCTTCACAGCACACTTATTCATGGCCTGCACATTCTGGCTCTTGAGCGGCCTGCCATTCTCGCAGGCATTGAACATGCAGGACGAGTCCATGGCGCGCTGCAGGGCGTCGCCCTTCCAGCCGAAGACGTAGTCCGCATGCGTGCCATAGCCGACGCCGTCGCCGTAGCTGAGCACGAATGGGTTGGAGCCGTCCGCCGGCCACATGCCGTTGAACTGCGTCGTGTCCCAAAGCGTCTCGAACGCGAGCTGCGGCATGCGCACCGGGTGCGACGACGGGCAGGCGCCCGCGGGCGCGAAGGCCTCCCGCACCGTGTTGTACATGTGCGATTGGTGGTCGGGCGAGTCCAGGTTCTTGCCGTCCCAGCAGCTGTGGGTTGGGGGGGAGTGTGTTAGTGGTTTGTTTGTTTGTTGTGTCGAGATCGGGGGGGGGGGGGGTTCAAAAGTTTGGACCACCACCGCCAATTGATCACGAATAAACCACCGAAGCAGTACTTACGACGGGAAATGGTGAACGGTCATGATGCCGCCGACGCAAGGCTGCGTAGGGAAGCTGGGGAGCTCAGGGAAGCGCGTGCCCTTGTTCTGCAGACAGACGAACCGCAGGCCCGGGTTGCCCTTGGAGCCCGGCTCTGCGCTGTACGTCGGGCTGCCAACCGTCATGCGGAAGCCCTGAAGGCTTTAGTTAGCTCCATCTCCCTCTCTGAGCACTCACTCGGTACTTGGTTATATCTGCCTTCCGGAAGACAGATACCCCTTACACAGGACTCACCGGCTTAAAGGCAGTGATCTTCTGGTTACCGTTCGAGTTGAAGTCTTGCTGCGTGTAGTAGATGGTCATGCCGCCGTTGATGCCGTTGGGCAGCGCCGTGTTCTGCATGATGGGGACGCGCTTGTACGAGCCGTTGCTGTGCTTGAAGAACATGACGGCGGTCCAGTAGTTGGAGAAGTTCTCGGAGAAGGTGCACGTTGTGCAGTCGGCCTGCTCGGCAATGTCGCCCTCCATGGTCGCGTTGAAAGCGTTGCCACCCACGATCTGGTGGACGTGCGAGGACGGCAGCTTGCCCGGCTCGACGAGCGGGTCGAGGCGCTGGATGCTCACGGTCGAGCACCCGAAGCGCAGGGCGGCCTGGGAAGACCCGGCGAGGGCGAGGGAGAGTGAGAGCCACTTCATGTTGGACTTTGTTGATGAAAAGAACGATGCTGGAGTTGGTTCAGCGCCAGGCTAGGAGAGAAGTTTACAAACCGGGGTAGCGGGTCTTGAACAGTGCTATATAGGTAGTCTCGGTCCCTGGTCGTTGTAAAGTTCCCGACTGCTTCCCACCCAGACTTGCCGCCATCCAGTGCCCAGATCCATGGCCATCTATCCCTTTATTTAGATGCGGGGACTGGGATGCTCTTGATTGGGAGGCCCCATCCCCCTGAGTGTGCAGGCTTGTATGTTTATACACGGCGCTTCTCAACCCAGCTTCTCGAAGGTCGGCATTGGCCAGGAGATCGGCGCTTAATATACTTCCCGGTTAGACAGGATCCCCGAGCATCCACGAGACACAGCAGGAATATAGAACCCCAAACACCCACCCTTAGTTACCGGCTCTATTACTCAAGCTCAGGAGGGAAGGTGATCGTCCAACTCTCCGACCGCCACTCAACGGTCGCCTTGGATCTTTTAATGGTCGGCTTGACACCTTGTTTCCGGTAAAGATAGCCTTGGCACGCCGACATTTGCCGGGGCACGCATCTGCCGAGATTGATGGGGCGATTTGTGCTGCATCGGGCTTCTTTATGTTTTTAACCGGCAGACGGCTGCGTGTTGGCCGACCACACGTGGCTGGTGATCCTCGCCCTCTCTACTTTGAGCGCTCCGAAGCCCAAGGTGAACCATCCCGGCATCGTAGTGCCGGGAGCGAGGAGCAGGGCTGCTTGGCGACCCGGAACCGGCTCACACTACCGGGCTGACAACCCATCTGGAAGGGTTCTTTTTCCATTTCTAGAAGCAGCAATGCCTGGGTGCCCAGAGGGTGGACGAGGGTTGATGACAACGGACCGATTGGGCACTGCAACGGTCGTCATACCCTTGCCGGCAGTTAGTTGGATATTCTATTTTAACCTATGAATCCTGTGCATGGACCTAAACTGACATGCTTGCATTGTAGAACCCATGCGGAGCGAGCCGCGGCTACATGCGCAACACAAGTTGACAGCGGACCTCTGGGTCACGGGTGTTCAACGAGACATAATTTTCAACGAAACATAATTCGCTTTGTAGTGATTCTGTTGTTTTGCCCCCTGACGAGGTAGGGTAAGTTAGGCAGTGAATATAGTGCAGCTAGGCAACATAGACACCTATACCATGAAGGCGATGCGGGTTTCCTCCGTGGCGTTTGAGCTCGCAGGAACTTGGAAGTTATGGCCCTAAAGCTTGCAACCACGGACACGGGGAAAGTAAGGCGACACGAATGCTTGCCAGTCAATGTATTCGTCTGTGGCCCCACGGCAAATATCGCAGCCACGTGAAGCCCTGAGGGGGGCGGCTCGTGCAGTTCAATGGATCTGCTCGAGAACCAGGTCGTATATATCATTAGATATCTAGCATATTCTCGCTACCTAGTCTAGTTATCCTCTATACCGGTCAAGAAGAAAAGTTAAACAATAGTGGGAAAGACTGCTAGGCACTCGTATCGCTGCGGTCAAGGGAGGGGGAGAGTGTCTTCCTAGTCCGCACTTATCCAAGTCTAAGATATCTAAGCACCTAGCAATACTGAAATTGTTACAGCGTGACGGTCATTCTAGACCGCTGGGACACTATGCCACAGGCGGCCATCCCTGACCGCTTGACGGTAACGTGCAACCAACCGGCGGGCCGGTCTAAGAGGACCGCGGGGGCGCCAGGGCTAGAATGGAGCAAGATTTACCACTACTTAAGATGCATATGCTGGTGTTCACCCTCGACGAACCAGTCGACACCAAACAAAACGACGACCGACATCGAGACGGATCACGCCCTAGCCGCAGAGGCCGACGTGAACGCCGTCTTGAAGACGGGCACCGTCATCACCGCCAGGACGAAGCCGTCCGATGGATTTGACCCATTCAGGCGAAACTACTACTGCAAAGTCGCCGCTCGCGCCACTCTTGAAGTGAACCCCTTGGATGTCTGTCTGGATACAGGCTGCTCGACCATACTCGTTGATAGGGACTGGCTGCGCCTCAACTTCTTTGATGCTGAGTTGGCTAGAATAGAGTCAATAAACCTGGATAGTATCGGCTCGAAACTGGAGCTCAACGAAAAGGCGATATTCCCCAACATCCTCTTCCCAGGTACGGTCGACGGTATAGAGGTTTTTGGAAAAGCCACAGTCACCTCACTTATAACGCCACAGCTCAAGCCCAACATGCTGTTGGCAACTGACTTCCTCAAGGCCGACGGCGTTATCATCGACTACACGCGCCAGACCGTCTCTAAAGAGTCCTGCATGGGGCTCACCATCGGTGGTACATATTATTTTTCTGTTTTCCTCTCTTTGGATCTTTCTCTTTGCTTACCTTTAGGTCTATCCATTTTCTTATTATAATTATTATTATTCATACTCCGCTATGCCCTAGGGCGTGCCGGACCCTCAGCTATTTAGTGTACAGGAAAACCGTGCCCTCCCGGGCCGGGTGAAAAACCCATACCAACAATCAAGGAGCGATGCGTTTTAGTGAGCCTACATATACAAAGAGAGGAGGCCTCCTGGCCTCCGAACGGGGGCGCTTCAGGCCGCCGCTTCCAGCTCGAGCCTCCTGGCTAAGTTGTACATCGGCAGCTTCCCCGAGTCCATCAGCCAGTCGAGAACTCTCCTCGCAAGCCGTGCAGTCGTGGGATTGATGCCGTGTAGAACAGAGTAAAAGTCCCGTCGTGTCCAAATTCCAGTTCTCTCCCATCTTCGAGTCAACGGTGGGGCCAAACACCACACTACCAGGTGTTCGGCAGTCTCTCGTCCCTCGCCACACTCGCAGGCAGGAGTCAGAACCTCCGGGACTCCCCGTGTAAACAAGAAGTCCCGTAAGCCTATTGCTCCCGTCCGGATTTGAATCAGCAGTGAGCTCTTCGCCTTGCTGAGACCGTCGTGCCTCCTTAGGGTTTCGTTCCGGAATAGCGTCTCCTGCTGATGGTCAATGTCGGAACATCTACGCCAGAGTTACGTCCTCGCAGGGGGACGTGACGGAGGGCAGGGGGGGGTCCACCACTGGGGCAGTCGTCACGTGGTCCTGGACCTCGGGGACGACAACCCCGGCTGCAAAATCTGAGCCCCCCTCATTTCTAGATAGAAGAACATGATCCAATTGAACCACGAATGTAGCACGTCCCTCCAGAGAGAAGGGATTTGCCCTGTGCTTCTAACGCTATCGCGATACCTGGTATTCCCTACACTGATCAGTGGTTAATTATACCACTGCTAGACAGCTCCCGCCACAGATCAGCAAGGTTTCCAGAAGAGACGGAATTGTCGGAGAGGTTCTACCGGAGTAGTGACTTCTTCAACAAAACCGTGCTAAGGAGCATTCTCGACACCTTTACTTGGACTCAGTCAAAAGGAAGGAACACGAGAGGCTCAATCCTACAGTTCGGACTCAGGACGCACTGAAGGAACGTCCATCACGCATTCCCCGCTCGCCAAGATCCTCGCGAGCTGCTGGCAACCGCCGCAAAACCAAACATCAAATCCACTTTCCAAAGAGGTAACAATGCCTCAGACAACATCGTCACCAGAGGAACTGGACCCGGGCTCGTCAACGCCAGGGAACAGCCAAACCGGAGGGAACCCGCTTACACCGCCAATCCCCCAGCACATCCTGTCCTTCGTGGATCACTCCACATGGGGAGACCTCGCGGCCATCGACGAGATCGAGGAGCCCACGCCCAAGCAGATGAACTCCCACATCTATTTCCTCATGGAAATTTTCTGGGCTTCTACGAGCTACGCAGGACGAAAGCTCTGGGGCGCATTCAAGGACGAATTCGACGAATGGACCGCCCAACGATGGGACATGGTTCCCGACCGTACCCGAAAGCACCTCCGCGCCTTCCTGAGCACCAACGGCGTGTATGTCGACAATACCAACACTCCCCCTACCAGCTAAAGTTTCGAAGCTCATCGCCAAGAGAACGAACTTTCCCGCACCTGGGTCCATCGAATGAAGATCAACACTTGCGTAGGGTCCACAGTACCGATGCACCATGGAGTTTACTGGGAAAACCCTCTAAGTTCATCCAAAGCATCCAGGATCTCTCCCAATTGACGCCAACGACCCCGACAGCCCCAGCAACCGCCTCACCGGTCCTAGCGACCATCCCGACACAACCACAGGCCTCTCAGCAAATCCCACAAGCAATCCCGGCGCCACGACAACAAAACCCCATTCCCCAGACGGCACCGAAACGGGAAGCAGATTGGGAAACAACCTCGGAAACTAGACAAGACCCCCAGACCTGGCCCCGCCCGTCCGAGGAACCGTACTACGCACCGCGAGGAAATGCTAAACACCTCGCAGATTTAGCCAAGTTGTACAGCGACGACATGAAGTACGGCGGCGGAGACTACGACATTCTCGACACAAAAATGGCGATTTTCCGAGATTTGTGTAATCGAATCCAAATTCCAAGATGGCAAGCCAGTGACGCTTTTCCGATCATGCTCAAGGACCGAGCCTTACGATACTATTACGACTGGCTTTGCAGCGGCCCCCGGGACTTCGATACCATGGTAGCCAAGATCAGAGGATACTTCGAGAACGAAGAGCAGCGGCACCGGTATCTGGCAGCATGGCGCGACGCTAGATTAATCAACATGCAGGCCGAGCACCCCGACAAGTCCAAATCCGAGTGCCTGGAACTTCTGATCAACAGGCTTGCCCTGATTCAACGCGCAGTACCGGCAATTGGCCAGACAGAGGATACACTGCGCATGCAACTCTTGAACGCATGCCGTGGTGTTGCCGAGGCCAGGATGGCCCTCTTCAACCCGGCGCCAACCTTCGAAGGCGTCCGCAACCAGCTGCAAGCGGCGATTGGAATCACCACCGAAAATCCCGGACCTCAACAGTTCAACACCGACGCCACTGACTCGGAGACGTTCTGGACGGACAGGACGTACAGAGGATCCGGCAGAGAATCTAGATTTGGTCGCAACCAAGGAGGACCACGCCGAGGAGGATTCAGCAACTCCAAATTCAGTCGACCCCCCACCGAGAGGAAGTGCTTCGTGTGCGGCAAACCCGGCTGCTGGTCAACAACTCACCCAATCGAAGACAGGAAGAAGTCCTACGAAAGGTTCAAGGCTGACAAGGACGCACGCGACGGGTCAATAGCAGCCTTTGCCCAGTTTATTCTACTGGCATGAGGGATCTGAACTCGAAGCCGATTACGAAGATAACCCCGTCAGCCAATTCTTCCAAAAATACGACGATCACGACGACGATACTATCGACAACAGAGGAAAATTCCACAGCACCTTCTTCAACGATTCCGCACCTGCAGATGCGATTCAGGTTACGACACTCCTGGCAAACGCGGCCACCCACCACTTCCTAACGAAGGAAGACCCCTTTCAAGAGCAGGACCCCTCGGAGACTTACACCGCCGAGGGCCGGTATTCTGCAACAACTTTCAGGGGTATCATGCCCGACTCCGGAGCCGCACAATTCTCAACAGCCGGCCAACCGCAATTCCAGGCCCTGCAACGTCAACTCCCTTCAGCTACCCTGGACACAACAAGGGCCGGAGAAGCCATCGTCAAATTCGGCTATGGGACACCTAAGGCCTCCCTGGGAACAACAACAGTGCCCACACCCCTGGGAACGATCGATTTCCACGTGATGGAAACGGAGACCCCTTTCCTACTTTGCCTCAGGGATATGGACAGACTCGGCATCAAGTTCGACAACTTGAGGAACCTCCTACAACGAGGAGACGTCGAGGTTCCCGTTACACGGAAATGGGGACATCCCTGGCTTCAACTAACCCAGGAGGAAGCTCTGGTGTGCAGTTATCTCACCGACGGTGAACTGCGGCGACTACATCGACGATTCGGACACCCCTCTGTTGCGCGCCTTTACAAGCTCCTCAAGACTGCAGGACACCCAGTGGAGATCCAAGCCCTGGAGCTCATCGCCAAAGTGTGCCACCACTGCCAAATGCACTCCGCACGCCCAGCTCGCTTCAAATTCACCCTTCACGATGATTGCGAGTTCAACTACGAGGTCATCATGGATATCTTCTACGTGGAGGGCAACAAACCAGTTCTACACCTCGTCGACGCGGCCACAGCTTTCAACGCCGCGCGTTTCCTTCCAGACGTATCAACAAAGTACGTGTGGGAAGCATTGCGCCTTTGCTGGATTGACGTGTACCAAGGACCCCCTGACTACGTCGTTACCGATGCAGGGAAGCAATTCGCTTCCACAGAGTTCCGCCAGAACGCCAAGGAGATGGCGATTACCGTCAAGGAAGTCCCGATCGAAGCCCATAACAGCATCGGCAAGGTAGAACGGTACCATGCACCTGTACGACGTGCGTACGAAATCCTACGCAAAGAGGACCCCTCTGCAAGCCCAGAACTGTCTCTGCAAATGGCTGTCAAGGCTGTGAACGACACTGCAGGTCCCAACGGACTTGTGCCAACTCTGTTGGTATTTGGCGCCTACCCAAGGATGACACACAACTCTGCGCCATCGCCAACGCTACAACAACGCGCCCAGGCGATCAAGAAAGCCACAGACGCCGTCCGCAGGCTCCATGCTGAACGCAAGGGTCCAGGAGGCCCGCACCACACGCAATGGTCCGGACACCTTACGCACCACGACCCTTCCACTGCAGTCACGTGTGAGAGTGTGGCGCGAGAAAAGCCGCCGATGGGAAGGACCTTTCACATTAATCGGTGTCCACGACGAAGACTGCATCGTGGAAACAAGCCGCGGCGCACAGAAGTTCCGCTCTACGGTGGTCAAGCCGTACTACGAGGACCCTGCTCAACAGGACGACCCTGCGAACCAGAAAGACACCGCAGAGAAACCAGCACCTGAAGTTCCGGACTCTCAACCAAGGAGCACGACCCCTCCTGGAAACGCCATCGAAGAAGAGCCAATCCTCGATTCGATAATTGTGGCCACTCATGCGCCCTTCCCTTGGGGACGAAGACGAACTCCCAGACGACGGACCGCACAGGAACACTCGACCACGCAGAACCCACTTCGCCCACGCATTCCTCCGGGAGAGCGATGTTCGAGAGGACGAAATCTTCGAGATCTTCTTGTCAACGAAGGAACAAGCAGACGCCGCACTCGCAGTCCAGCAGTTTGCGCGCCGATGGCAAGGTCACTACACCCGGGGAACCTTTTGAGGAGTCTTCTAAACAAGAGATCGAGAGCCTTATTACCCGAGGCGTCTTCGAATTTGTCAAATACGACGAGGACTTACACGGCGACGCAGAGATCTTTAAGTCAAGGATCGTAAACGAAATTAAGGGCAAGACAACGGACAAGCCCTATGAGAAATCGAGGCTTGTGGTCCAAGGCTTCGGAGACGCAGGAAAGGAAGCCATCCTCACGCAGTCGCCAACAATCCAACGCGCAAGCCAACGCCTGATCCTCGCCATCGCGCCGTCACTTCAGAGACAGGGTTGTCTCCTTTGGCTGCGCGATATTACGCAAGCCTACGTGCAGTCGGAAAAGGCACTCCAGCGCAAGATTTTGGCATTTTTGCCCCAACAGATCAGGCACTTATACCCCGAGGGAACCGTGATGCGCGTGATCAAGCCGTTGTACGGGCTGGCAGAGGCAGGAACCTATTGGTGGGTCACATACCACAACCACCATTTGAAGAGGCTCCAGATGGCAACCTCTACGTACGACCCCTGCCTGTTGATCTCCTCCCCCGAGAACCCGGAATTTGCCTGCGTGGGGATGCAAACAGACGATACTTCTGGGTCTGTCAACAGACGGCGTTCTCACAACGCGAGAACGATCAACTGAAGGAGGGCGTCATTCAGCGCTCAAAGGACAAGCAATTTCTCACCACCGCGGAACCCCTGGTTTTCAACGGCGGCATCGTTACACTCAACAAAAACGGTTCAATCACCCTGCGGCAGAAGGGTCAAGCCCAGAAGCTGCAATTGATCGACGCCAACGCGCCAGACGCCAAACAACAGTACGTTCAGCAACGGGCTCGCGGCGCGTACATCGCTTCAATTTGCCAACCCGAGGCCTGCTTTGATCTCTCCAGCGCAGCCCAACACCAAGAACCGACCCCTGACGATATCAAGACTCTTAACCGAAGGATCCAGTGGCAGATGGACTCACAGGACAGGGGACTCACGTTCTTACCCCTGAACCTGGAGACTGCAAGACTGTACGTCTTCGTTGACGGCTCTTTTGCCAACAACAGAGATTTCACCTCCCAGCTCGGGTTTGCGATCATCCTGGCCAACGAAGACGAGATCAACGATCGCCACGAGTTCTCCATTACAGGGAACCTCATCCACTTCAGCAGCACCAAGAGTAAGAGGGTTACCCGCAGCGTCCTAGCTTCCGAGGTTTACGGAATGGTGGCCGGCGTGGATATGGCTTACGCCCTGGCTTCAACATTACGCCAGATCACTGCCCACCTGAACCTTCCTGCCATCCCAACCATCGTCTGTACAGATTCTTACTCACTGTACGAATGTCTTGTGAAACTCGGGACTACGAAGGAAAAGCGGTTGATGATCGATATCATGGCACTGCGCCAGTCCTACGAGCGCAGAGAACTCCAGGAAGTGAGGTGGATCAATGGAGAGGACAATCTGGCGGACTCCTTCACAAAAACAACGCCGAATCGTGCCCTGGAGCGGTTTGTTGACTGCAATAGTGCAACTGTACGCGTGGAAGGATGGGTCTCACGTTAGGAGGCCTTTGGGGGACTACGAAGGGGATATTTGGGGACATGTACGTAATCCGAAAGCCCACCTGCGAACTCTGGCGTTTCCTGGCCTCAAAAGAAGAGACTGCCAGTGTCGGAACATCTACGCCAGAGTTACGTCCTCGCAGGGGGACGTGACGGAGGGCAGGGGGGGGTCCACCACTGGGGCAGTCGTCACGTGGTCCTGGACCTCGGGGACGACAACCCCGGCTGCAAAATCTGAGCCCCCCTCATTTCTAGATAGAAGAACATGATCCAATTGAACCACGAATGTAGCACGTCCCTCCAGAGAGAAGGGATTTGCCCTGTGCTTCTAACGCTATCGCGATACCTGGTATTCCCTACATCTACCGATAGTCCGAATGTACAGCAACTCCCTTTCGGTCTCTACCTTAAGATGGTCAGGTTGGCGGCACGCCACGAGAGCTTGATCAACGAACACGCGGCGTTGCAATTAGTCAGACGACACACCAACCTGCCGGTCCCCCGCGCGCTGGACCTGGTCTCAAACTCGACCGAAATATACCTGCTAACCACTCGAATCCCGGGCCACAAGGTTGGGTTATGCCTCGATTCCATGAGCGACCAAGCTACTCGCATGCTTGTTGATGAGCTCCGCGGGCATTTGGCAGCGCTCCGCGACATTCCCATGCCTGGGGATTGGCAGTATGTGATCGCCAATGCTGCCGGGGGGCCATGTTTCGACTATCGGATCTATGCAGCGCAACCCGGCGACGGAACAACATGGGTTGTAGGGCCGTTCCTCAGCGAGAACGACTTCAACCAGGCTCTGCGATGTGGTGCCATCCCTGAGGTAGTCCACCGCAGCGGACATAGGATGGCTTTTACGCACGGTGACCTCAACATGAGAAATGTCCTTGTGGACGAATATGGAAGACTGAGTGGAGTAGTCGACTGGGAGAACGCCGGTTGGTTTCCGGAGTACTGGGATTACACCAAGGCTTTTTTCGTGACTAAATACAACCAGCGATGGCTCCGGATGGTTGAAGACATGTTTGGCCAGTTTGGGGATTTTCAACGGGAGTTGGCGACGGAGACGGAGCTCTGGAACTATTGCTTTTGATACATGCATTTTTCACTTCTGCTGTCCGTCGTCACGACTTTTTCCCGGAGTTACCAGAACCCATGGAACTAAGGAGCCAGTGCTCGATGCCTCTTTGTTCTTAACCGTCGCGCCCTGGTTTCTTGATGGAATGGGATGAATCATGTGCGGAGAGATGTTGATAGACCTTTAATGATTCGTTGTATGAAAGGGGGACACTACAGGGACAAACCAAACCTGACTCCATGTGTATGTGCCGCCAAAATATTCGTCCAATGGAAAGAAAAGAGAAAGAAAAGAATGTAAGCCATTTGGAAGTCAGAGGGGGCTGTGTCAGAAGTCACGTGGCACAGTTAAGCCCGACATCGCACCGTCGTTGTAAAAAGGCTACCGCTGCATTTCCGGCTTGCTTTTTTTTCCTTTAGCCCCAGCAAAAGTACTCCAGTCTTTGGGGTCATTCGCCAGACCCTTACCGCCCCCGTTGCTCTCTCGCGCATCACCCACCGCAACAATGAACGAGGCACTCTGTGACGAACCTACTTCAGGACCCTGTCCTGTTAGGGTTCAGCTTCGGTCGAAGGTAGTCTCTCAAGGGTGCTTAGGTTTGGTGCAGCCAAAAGGTGCACAACAAAGACTTGTCTCAACAGTAGGCTTCCGAGCTTGTAGGGCACTGTAGCTGTGATTGCTAGCTGGAGAACTCCCAGAGCTCTCCAGAACGAGTGCTATATACTATCTACAGTGGGGATCCAAAAGTATCCGGCCACCCCGCTTTTTCCCAGCCACCTACATTATATCTTGGAGGCTTTAACAGCAAATATCTCAACATCACCAAATCATGACGCATAACCAATAGATGTTGTTAAGAGCCCTGTTTAAAAACTTTAATATTTTGTATACCACCCCCTCGCTTTTTTAACAGCGGCTAGCCGGCGTGGCATTCCCTCGATCAGCTTGTCGATGAACGACTGTGGGATAGCCTCCCACGCCGTATGCAAGCACTCTTTGAACTTTGCTATATCTACGCAGTTCTGCTTCAGGCACCATAGCTCTGGGAATAACGTTCGTAGGTTTTTCTTCAGAGCTGCCCAAACGTGCTCAATCGGATTCAGATCCGGACTGTGTGCAGGCCATTCGATCCACGAAATCCCCCGCGTCTGGAGCCACTCCTCCGTTGCCTTGCAGACGTGAATCTTTGCGTTATCTTGCTGGAAATGCCGGGTATCGTTGTAATGAGGTAGGAGACCTTCTTGGAGCGCCTTCTGGTAAGATCTCGCAGTGTATCCTCGCCTCGGGGCATCTTCGTCGCGCTCCATCACGATGAGGTCACTTCTCCCCCCTTTCCAGACCATTCCCCAAAGCATGATCGAGATGTTCGCTTTCACATGGTTCTGGAGGTTGACGAAACGCTTATCGAACTTCTCGGACGGAAATCGGAACACCCAGCAAGTCGAATTTAGAGTGTTATTCTGACAGGAACACTAGTCTGAGAACATCGTCTGAAACGATTAGCGGGGTAAGAAATAGGAGGTAAGTTCAACACCACTAACCTGAAGGAACTCGTCGATATTCTCAAGCCAATCGCATGCAAAATTGTACCTATCTGATACGGGACACTGCATCGATTGCAAATAGTAGAAAAAAAAGGTCGAAGAAAGAGTTGTCTTTTTTTAAAGGTGCAAGGCGCCTCACAGACTATTTGCAGAGGACCAAAGTGGGGCGGCCTGGCACGGACTATCTCTAAGTAACTTCATCACACAATGGGGATTCTTGCATCACTATCCTTTGCCACTTCTTTGGTCAAAGGAATCCTCTTCATAGCTCTCCATTTGCGGATGTGGTGTGACCGGAGGCAGCGGCGGATGGTAGAATAGGAGACAACCTTGCCAGTTGCGTTAACAAGCGCTTTTTTCGCAATGGTTCGGTTTTTTTTGACAAGTAAAACGATATACCGTTTCTCCCTTCGAGTTAGAACCGGCGGCCGGCCCTTCCGGGGTCGCGAATCAAACGTTCGGTGAGTTTTCCAGTGCTCAACACAGCGGGCGACGGTATCGCGGGATACGCGAAAGAGGCGAGAAACGGCGCGTTCGCTCTGCCCGGCCGCAACAAGTGTGCAAATGGCTGCACGTGCGCCTGGAGAAAGCTCCTGTAATCTCCCGCGTCCGGCAGTCAATTCAGCAGCAAAATCGGCCAAATTGAGCTTCATCTTGTTGAATTGTCGTGGTTCAAAAGTTAAGGGTAGGAAACCGCGAGACGCGTTTCGCGTTTAATGAAAGCGGGGTGGCCGGATACTTTTGGATCCCCACTGTACTTGAGGGTGCTCAGGGTGCTCACGACTCCCTTAATGAGCAGAATGAGCTCACTCCCTTGGCAGGGTCCTTTCTGAGCAATGGGTCGGACGTCCCATTGGCCGTCCTTCTTACTTAATGATTGGCTCGGGGTAGTTACTGCCAGCGTACCCCGCCGGCCGGCTGCATGCGGCCATAATCGTGACCACACATCTTGGGGATATGGTCTAATATCGCCACCCGTTACACGAACGCGGCGCTCACTTTTAACAGTGACAATTTCATTGCTATCTCGGCCATAGCCCGCGAGATGCAACGGATATTACGCTCTACGACGACTTCCAAGATCGAGTATCTTGCTGGGCTATGGACCGTGTGGCTTAAATATCAGCTGATGTGGTCTTCGGAATCCTTTAGCACCGCAACACGGATATTAGAGGTTGACGGGCTGGCCGCGCCGTCATGGTCGTGGGCCTCACTCAACGGGCCGGCCCACATCTATTTTCTTCCCTTGATTCACACAATGACAGTGGCGATAGCCCGGGTTCTTCGTCACAACATCGTTCCAAATCCGGGGACCCGTTCTTTGGCCCAGAAGCGCGATCCAAAAGCGTGCTTGAAATCAACGGTCTGCTTTGGAGACTTGCGGATCCGACGTGCAATCTCGAACCCCACTACATGTACAATTCCGACCACCCGATAAGCATCGGTCTTGACTGTGATACCATGTAATTACCCGTTGCCAGAAGTAGGAACGGTCACCTTCTTACTACCGGTCGTCTTTGATCGACCAACAGACTCAGATCCCCGACCCCCGGCTCGTAATGACGACCCCATTTCTCTCAACGGTTTAATCCTCCATAAAATCGATGACTCAACATCCAGCTTGTCGTTCCAGAGGATCGGAACTTTTTGCATCAGCATCTCAAGTGATTCTCCGGCTCTTCGCAGCAAGTCATGGAGAGAAAGGCTTGATAAATGCATCGCCCTCCTCTTGGAGCATGACATTGTCTGGCCGAGCCAATATGCTAACCGGCCGCTGCCATCGACACCCGCTCACAAAATCTGGATGAAAGCAACGTCATATCGGACCATATACTTGGAGTGATTCGGGCGGTAATTTGGGTTGCGCAAGGTAAAGAGGTTGCACCAAGTTTCACAAACGTTCCATGTTTGGGTCGAGGGAACTCAACGGGCTAGGAACGGTTGGGCAGTGGCATTGTTCAATCTCCCGAACTGATATCGACTCTCGAGCTCCAAAGTCGGTATGTACATACGCTTCATAATTGGGATTGTACATGACAGAGACCCCAACATGTGCTAACACCCCAAGCAGGCCACACCTCGGCCACTCCCCGTCACCACCACCCACCACACCACTCACTCACTGCAACGTGATCGCCGCCGAGCCACTGCTCCCCGGCCCCCCATTCGCAGTATACCCCTCGGTAGCCATAATGACATAATCATGATTCCCCAGCCGCATGCCCAGCTTGGCCCACTCATTGAAATGGTTCTGGGTGGTCACCGTGCCGCCCACGCGCTGCTCTTTCCGCACCGACCAGTACTGCTGGAAGGTGCGGGTGCCCTCGATGGAGGGCTTGTTGACGCGCGTGCTGGTGAAGATCTCGTAGTCGCCCTCGGCCGAGCTGAAGTTGCCCTTGGACGTCCACGGCTCGTTGGGCGCCAGGTCCGCGTGCGCCTCGATGATGTAGTACTCGATCAGCGGGTTGCGCGTCCACCCGTACACGGCCATGTAGCCCGGCCCCGTGGCGTTGTACGTGCCGGTGTATTTGATGGCGCTGTTGGTTGTGGAGGGGGGGTTGTGGGTGGTTAGCATGGTTTCAGGTTGGTTGTGAGTGTGAATACACCGGTTGGGAGGAGGGGAAGAAGAGGAGTTGGGGGGGGAAAGACAGCATTGGATCTCACCGGTTACCGCCGTAGCTCCAACCCTTGCCGCACACAAACCCGCCCTTGCTGTTCCAGTTGGCGGTGTAGGAGCCCCCATTGCCGTTGTTGCAGCGGATGTTGCTGCCCCCCTCGGACCAGTTTTGGAAGTAGTAGCCTCCCTGGCGAGGGTTGAGGGCGTTTTCGGTTTGGGTCTGGGGGCCGGGCAGAGGACCAGCGAGCACGCTAGGTGCCACGAGGCTGGCTGCGAGGAGCGAAAACTTGACCATGGTGTTTTAAAAGCGGCAGGAGGCAGGAGGCAAGGTTGCTGAGCTGGGGAGCCACGGACCGGGTTCAGGTGGTGAGATACCGCTTTCTTATACACCCAGATCGACATCATATGGTCCGTTGTAACGGTAGAGCTACCCGGCCCTGTCGATCCATCTGTTTTCACGACCCAGGCTGCCAAGGATAGATGACATTTTCCCGAGGAGGCTTTGCACGATGAGGTTGCATGCTTGTGATTCAACATACGGCCAACGCAAACAAACCGGTAATGGCAGGGGAACATGGACACCACTGTACTGTGGTCGTGATATTTAGCCTGAAGAAGGTGAGCGTTGAGAGCCCTTCCTTAAGACCGACCTTCCTATTATTAGAGGAGCTGTGTCGTATATCGTCAGATGCCGACCTGTCACCGAACGCCGCCAAGCTCCATGTTTAACCGTTAAGCTCATCAATAAATAACCGAATTTGCGGGGTATTAATCCCGTTCACTGCCGGCATCACTTATTCCGGGGAAGGTCGTATTGTTGGCGAGCTACATCCGTACATATATTATATCGAACCCCTGAACGACGCGGATGTTGAACAGCAACCGCTCTTGGCAAGATGGAACAGCTATGTACATTCAAGCAGTCAAGCGGCTCTTGGCGACTCCCTCATAGCCGGCGTAGGATCCGATGGCTCTATGGGTGACTTGGGCGAAGACAAGGATCACCCTGGCGATGACAAGACCACAAGAAACGACTACATCCTAGATGGGAACCTCACTCTTCACAGTAAGACGACAAAATCGCCTTCACCTTAAAATGATTATGACGGCAGTTGAGCAAACAGATGCGTCGTCCATGATGCGTACTGCACCGTGACGAGGTAACTCTATTCAAGACCATACTCCTTGATCAGCTTCTCAGCACACGTTGCGCCGGTGATATCTGTGCAGCGTTTCCAGTCAGTATCTACGCATAGACCCAATCAACAAGGGCACAGGGACTAAACTTACAAGCAACGGCTTGCACATGGCAGCTCGCCAACACCGGCACGACGCTCATATCCGCCACGCGAAGACCTTCGATGCCCATCAAACGGAACTCCTTGTCCACCGCGGCGCCGGCATCATCCGGCTTCCCCATCTTGACCGTACCCGTCATATGCCAACTGGACCCAAAGGTCTGCTGCCAGTGTGCGAGCAAGTCTTCGTCCGACTCCGACTTGGGCGCCACGAGGGTGGACACGGTGTCTTTTGCGTACGCCTCGGTCTTGGTGAAGCGCAAGACCTCTCGAAGCGCCGCGATGGCGGCGCGGCGGTCGAAGGGGTGGTCGAAGAACTTGGGGTCGAAGAGTAGCGGGACGTTGGGGTCTGATGATTGGAGCGTGGCCGTTCCGCGGCCCTGGGCGTTGTAGGGGAAGACGAGGAGGCACGAGTAGCCGAGGTCTTCGCTGCGGAAGTTGGGCAGGAACCAGTGGATGGGGAAATGCGTGAAGACTTCGAAGTGTGGCACCGTTTCCGAGTTCAGGTATCTTTGTTCCTCGGCGGGGAGCGACTTGAACTCGGGTGAAGAAACGAGCTCGTCGGACTTAAAGAAGCCGATGCCCATCTCGGTGGCGAACTTGGTCCACGGTCCAGTGCCGTTCTTCTTCCACTCTTCCAGCGCGGCATCCATCACCGCCTGGTCGCCGTAGAAGCCGGCGCGAGCCGTGCTCTCCGGTGTGCGGGTATAGACGAGCGGGCAGAACCCGTGGTCGCGGAGGCCCTCGCCGATAGGTGAGCAAGGGTGGACGACAGGGATGTTGTATTCTTCAAGTTGCTCCTTTGGTCCAATCCCAGAGTGCATCAGAATCCGTGGAGTGTCGAGTGAGCCTGCCGACAAAATGACTTCCTTGGAAGCCAGAAACCGCTTCCCGTTCGACTCGACACCAACCGCCTTTTTCCCTTCCAGCAAGACACGCTGCACCGGAGAGTCTGTCACGACGGTGAGGTTCTCCGGGCACGGCACCAGCAGGTCTTGTGCAGTGGATCGTCGCCCTTTATGTGCCGAGCTAATCAGCAACGACATGCCGATCGGGTTGCCCGAGTTGTGGTCGGGATTCAACGGGTAGCCTGCCTGGCCGAACGCCTCAAGTATGTGCGCGACATCGGTCTCACACTCGGTCGGGAATCCAACGTGAAGCAGGCCGGACGAGCCATGATCCGATGGCTTTGCCGCCGCGTACTTGCTGCTGATGCCCTCGGGGAGGGTGTTGTGAAAGTTTTCGAGGCGTTTGAGGCGTGCCTGGACGGGCTCCCACCGAAACGCATCGTCCTCCACGAGGCGTGCCCATTCTTCATAGTCGTCGCGTGCACCGATGGTGAAGACACCGAAGTTGATAGCGCTGGATCCACCAAGACCAAATCCTCTGGAATAGTCCAGCTGGCGATTGCCGCAGTTTTCTTGGGGTGTGGTCTTGTAGCCCCAGTTCATATCCTTGTTCGTGAAAGTCAGCCAACGCTGCCCGTCGACTCGAAGGTTTGGGTCTGCATTTTTGCCGCCGGCTTCCAGCAGGAGAACGGTGGGTTTCTTGGGAGATTGGGCTAAACCGTGTGCAAGCGCACAGCCCGCGGGTCCGCCTGGTTGCCATGTGATGGTCAGCATCCCCCCCTCCACCGGAGAGCCACCTCGGTTTCGGTAAGACAGATGAAAAGAGGGGTCACATACTCCCAACAATCACAAAGTCATATTGAGAGGCCATCTTGGTCCAAGTTTCCTGTATTAGTTCCGTCGTGAAGGACAGGGACCGGGGGTGTTCTGAGCTGAAATTCCTGGTATAGTGGTTGAGGAGGTAGCGGCGTGGCTGACGACAGTGTCTGCGGCTTGCTGTTGGGGGGTCAGAACGTGGAAGAACGATTTAAGCCAAACGATTCCAATCAACTTAATGACAGGAAAATGGGGACTGAGTAAGACATGGGCGGGTTGGGTAGCATTATTGGGCCGGAGAATGCCGACGTCCCTGCCCAAGTCATCATACAGCTCACCGCCGAATATCCACCGATTATCTCCCTTTTTGAGATTAGTTTGCCATGTGGCGGGCCGGAGCTAGTCTTGGATACCCCAGGTTTTGCTTTATTTTGACGCGAACGTTTCGACTCGGCAGCATGGCCAAGGGGCTGTTGCCACTCCCTGCCTGGACTCACCACACCGACGAGCCAGCCACAGTCGTCAAAATGCACATTTGCGGAGCAGCGGCCAATCTTGCCTGGTTGGAGCTCGCAAGTACACCCGCACAAAAAAACTCGTTCATGAGGATCAGCGAGTCATAGCACAACGCTCGCGTTTGGCCCATGCTGGCTTGTCTCCTTGCCTCTTAGCTTGCATCGAGTTCGTACTTGATTAGAATCGTTGGCCCAAAATCTGGAAGGAGTGGGAAATGGTTCCGCATGACTCCATCTCGTGTTATCCGGTGCTGCTGCCGTTGTCTTAACCGTTCCCCACCCCAGCACGGAGAACCAACAGCACGGTTCCAACTTTGACAATGTCTGGAAACGCTGAAACCTTCACCCTCCTCTCATTGGTCGTAGCCATCATCCTTCTCCGAATCGTTGTCCGCTTGAGAAGTGTCGGGCTGCGGGGGTTGCATCTTGACGATTACCTGATGCCCCTTGCTGGCGTAAGTTAACCGCCGCTTCGCAGCAACCGGGTGTCTTTGCCTCGCCTAACTCACGACAGATACTCTGCATAATCGATTTTGTGGCGGCGATTTACGTCGTAATCAAGGCCAATGGCCTAACCAACAGTTACATGACGGACGAGGAGCGCGCCGCTCTCTCTCCGGACTCCGAGGAGTACGCGCACCGTGTTATTGGATCCAAGATTCAGGTCTTCGGCTGGACTCTATACGCTGCCAGTCTTTGGTGCATCAAAGCATGCGTGGCTATCTTCTACTCAAGACTAACGTGAGTAACCTCGTGTGCAAGTGCTGTTCCCATCACCCGTCACATTGATTAATTCTCGAGGTAGTGCGAACCTAGCCCGCCTGCAAATCCGTGTGTACATTGCGTATGCTTTCATCGGGGCGACTTGGGTGCTTACGACTTGTCTTCTCCTTTTCGGCTGTTGGCCCATGTCAAAATACTGGCAGATCAACCCGGATCCCGGGAGTAAGTGTTTTTGTTTGATACCGAGTCTCGCGGATTAGCACTAACCTCCGTCGCAGTTTGTCAACCTACCAACTCCAAACTTTACGTCCTGTCCGTCTTGATCCCTGATGTCCTCACCGACATATACTTGCTGTCTATCCCTGTACCGGTTTGTCATATTACCCACAGCCTTCCCGTACCGAGCGTTGCTGATACCAACTCCGACCAGCTTCTCTGGGCTGTAAACATCAGCTTCAAGAAGAAGGTTTCGTTGATTTTTCTGTTCTCCGGAGTCATTTTTGTCATTGCGGCAGCCATCATCCGTGGCGTCGTGATTCTCAATGTAAGATGGCCCCAATCTGTACAGCCCGCTAAACAGGACTGGAAAGCTTACGAGCGTGTTTATTTCAGTCCGGACCCGAAGGCGCCGTTTCTGGGAGCGAATGGGCCGTCCGCGAGGAATTCGTCTCCATTGCGGTCTCCAATCTACCCATCCTGTACTCGCCAATCCGAAGCTTCTGCAACAAGATCGGGCTTAGTGCCCTATTCTCCACACACAACACCAATAACAAGACACCCTTCGAAGGTAGGACCATTGGCGGAGGCGGAGGTGGAAGTGGCTATCCACTGCGGAAGCCCAACAAAGATCCACATGGCACCGTGCCGGCTTGGGGGAGTGATGAGCAGATCCTGTGCGAGAATGGGATACAGAACCCGGCTAGAGATATTGTCGTGGCTCGGGAGGTTGCGGTGGAGTCTGAGGCCGGGTCGGTCAAGGGCCCGCCTGGTTCCAGTTGGGCTGCATCAGCAGCGAGTGGTTGGAATACCGGACCGACATCAAGGGGTTAATGCAGAGGAATCAGGAGCTTCCACAATTTTGCGTCTCTTTCCCCTCTTTGGAATTGCCGTCTTCTTCCTTGTCACTATCTGCGGCGCTATGAGGGACCGCTTCCGTCAATCATGTTCATTTCAAATAAACAATGAAAAACGACGACTTCTGCCACCAGTCATGCTAAACACCAAATATGTCTCCTCGGAAGGCGAAAAACACCCAGGAATCCCCGATTGTCTGAACAAGAGGCTCGCTCAGAACCGTCTCCCGGTACTCATCGTTGGTCCAAGACAACTGATCACTTATATCACGAGACGCGAGGTGGCGCTGCCCAACGCTGGCAATAATCTAAGAGGTGAGCATCACGATCATGTTGCCATTTGACTTTAGCGGAACATACCTACCTACACACCCCGCCTAAAATATCCGTTGGGACCCTTTCGTCCGCTCCGGCGGCCTTTCTCAACCGCACCAACCACCATCACCGTCAATGACAAATCCTTCTTGATCCAATGTCCCGCCACGAAACGAATATTCTTGATCTACACTAACAACAGGACACGTTTACCCCCTGTCGATAACGAAATGAGCTCAAGGAATGCATCCCGGTTCGAGTCTAGAACGTGGCGTCATGATCTGGCGTTTGCATGTTGCTTTTTCTTCTTGCATTGCGCATTTGAGACATGGAAGGGCCCAGGGACCTGGTTAGCGGTCCAAGGATCTGCAAATGTCTTGGTGGAAGTGCCGAGAAGCTGAACTTTAAATGAGAAATGCCGGTTCTAAAAGCAGCGAGCGGAAAATCGGCTTTTGTGCACATTTATTTTTGTCAAGCCAAGCTCTCTGATATTGCCCCCCACAAGTTATAGTCGTGAGGCTTGTAAAGCAAAAAGGAAACGAGGTGAAGCCCGAAGGAAAAAGATAGAGACTCGGATACCGGGAGTCGAACCCGGGGCTGTTGAGAGAGCAGTCACTCCTGAGAAGTGAGAGTCAACGATGTTACCGCTACACCATACCCGATTTGAATCGTGTGTGGTCCCGATTTGTTGGAATTGGGGAAACTGGAATCGCCTTTTCTTTGCGCAGAATTTTCCATGTGGGTCAGGGGTCACTCCTTTTCTTCGAGCTGCTTGGTCCGAGCCATTTTCCGCTCCACCCACTCTCCCACTCTTCGGGGGTCACTCAACCCCACGCCCTTCACGTCACTCAAAACAGCTCCCGCGTCGGCGCGTTCAGCTCACTCACTCGCCAAGGTCGAAAAAACGACGAGATCACAAGCAACACTCACCCTCCACAACCATCAGCCCACCACCAACCACCCACAATGGAAGTAACCTGCGAATGCAGAGCGGTGCATTTCACCACCCCGACCCCGGCCCCGCTCAAAGTCTACCACTGCCACTGCCTCGAATGCCGCAAGCAATCGGCATCCGCCTACGGCACGAGTGCCATCTTCCCCGCGGCGGGCCTCTTCCCACTGTCGTCTGACCTCGCCTCGAAACTGCAGCTCTGGACCCGCCCCACCGACTCCGGCGGCACCATGGACTGCTACTTTTGTAAGCAGTGCGGCGTGCGCCTGCTGCATCGCATCCGGGACAGCGACGGCACGGAAAGGGAGACGGTGAGCATCAAGGGCGGGGCGGTCGCGGGGCTAGATTGGACGGGCGCCGCGCATATTTATACGAGGAGTGCGGTGGTGGAGGTGCCTGAGGGGGTGGAAGTGTGGGAGGGGGCGCCGGGGGAAATGGTTGGGAGGAGGGAGGGCTAGGGTAATGCATAGGAAGGAGAGCGAAGGTTTGGTTTGGGAATTGAGCTGATGACTGCCTAGCAGCTATTTTGGGATCCCATGCACCTCCCCTCCCCCCTGGCTCTACATAGTGTACACTCTGTACCTGGCTCGATTACTGTGTAGCCGTTGCACTGGGCTCGGGTACGAATAGATGGCGAATGTGGCACAGAAACCCGGAGTTAAGCTCGGGAAGACAGGGAGGCATGATCTTAGATTTAGTGTTGATTCGCATAACTACAGTACCATCGGTGCTGACGTGAGTTTACTAGCCACGCGTTCCACGCGGCGCGCGTCATCTTTGCTCGCGAGACACCGTGGCCGAGACCGAGTTGGTGTCCTCTCGAGAACAACCCGTCAATGAAGTCACAAAAGCCGTGAGAGGGTGATTGTGGGCTTTGAACTTGCTGCCAGCCGGCCAAACAACACCGCATCTCTCAATGTCGCACAGCTCGGTGCGGACCGAACGGATGAATCGCGTGCTCCGCTGGGCATGCTCCGCAATGCCACCCCCATCCCGGAGATAACCAATGGAACCCGAAGTATGACCCCTGCGGTTCCTCGCTAGCGGCTCTCGGGAATCCTGCCTGGATTATTAAACACGGAAACACAGCTCACCATCATCCACACCTTTCTCTTTTAAAACCCGCTCTGCCGTTCACCCAAGCCACTCACCAGACTCGGTCGCTGTAAACGCGAATCACCAAAACGACATCACCATGAGCTTCGCTACCAATGAAAGCCCCAAGGGTTTCAGCAACGATGTGCTGCTCGTTTGTGTCCCGACCCCGCCAAACGAAACGTGGATAGCTCGACTCAAGGTACTGCATCCAGAGCTCACAGTGCGTTGGTATAACCAACCTCAGACATTTCCTCCCGCGCCGTTGCCTGAAGAAGTTTACGAGGGCGTAACGATGCTCCTCACCCTTTGGCCTCACCCAGCCGAGTCGTTACCAAACGTCCGTTACATCCAGTTGCTCTCCGCCGGCGCCGACAGATGGATCACACATGACTTGTATAAGAATCCGAATGTTATCTTCTGTACCGCCAACGGGGCTCATTCGTTTGTTACCGAAGTCTCCAAAAAAGCCTTGCTCTTGTTGACCACTCTATAGGCCCCAGATCGCAGAGTGGGTGATTGGCACTTGGTTGATGGTCAACCACAATTTCCTCGGCTACGCAGAGCAGCAGAAAGAACAAAAATGGTCCCGCTTGAGTGGGATGGCCCTAGACTCACCCGGCCTCCGCATGGGCATCCTCGGCTATGGGGCGATTGGACGGCAGTGCGCGAGGATCGGCCAAGCTCTGGGCATGGAAGTCTACGCCTACACTCGGAGCGAGAGATCGACCCCTGAATCACGCAAGGACGACAGCTACTTTGTTACCGGGACCGGGGACCCGGATGGCCTTGTGCCGACGAAGTGGTTCCATGGCTCGACGAAAGAAGCCGTCAATGACTTCCTGGCGCAGGACCTCGACTTCCTCGTGCTGGCTTTGCCACTGACGGAAGCGTCCACCTACATCCTCGGCCGCGAGCAGTTCGACATCTTGTCTAAGAAGAAGACCTTTGTCTGCAACATTGCCCGCGGGAAGCACATCGACAGTGATGCCCTCCTTGAAGCATTGCAGCAGGGCAAGATCAGGGGCGCCGCCATCGATGTGGCCGACCCCGAGCCCTTGCCCGACGGACACCCACTCTTCACCGCGCCCAACATCTTTATCACTCCGCACGTCAGCTGGCAAACGCCGCATCTCCTGACCCGCATGCAAGATATCGTCGAGAAGAACCTCGATAGCCTGAAGGAAGGGAAGCCGCTCATCAACGTCATGAATCGGGAGCACCATTATTGAAGCTTGGCATTGCTGCCATGTTATTTTTGACGACCACGCCACATTCTAGCCATCACCTGGTAGCACACCTTCTTCGCCTTAAGTCCGCCCGAGCTTCCCGTATTGCCTTATCAAGATCGACGCCCCAGCAGACAGCCTGTCGAGTCTCAACATCCACCCGCATCGCGTCGAAATTATCTCTGCCCGTGTTTGGTAACCGCCACTGGTACAAGTCGGCAGCTCGTCGACTGCTCTGCACCAGCCACTGATCTCGTTCACGACGGCTCGCGTCGAATGCAGCAAACACTGCCTGCAGTTCGTCGATAGGGCTAACATCATCCCTCCGGATCTCTTCCTCGAGGAGCGAAGCAAGAACAGCAACATCTTCCATGCAAAACCCGGCACCGGATCCGTGATGGGGTGTGCTGGGGTGAGCGGCATCCCCAATGACAAGAATACGGTCGGAATAGAATTTGGGTAAGGGGTTGTCAGCCAGGTCGAATAGACCCCACTAGGACCGCGTTAGCATTTACCAAAGTAGTGGTGTAAGATATCAAACCAGATTTAAACGTACCTTGTCCATCTTGTCCTTTATCAAACGTAAAAGTCGCTGTACCGTTTTGCCAAAACCCCCTTGCTCAAAGTCACGCAGCGCGTCTTCTTTTGTCGCCGGAAGAGTGAAACTCCTCGCATCTTGGCTTGGCCAGGAGTTGTTGGAGTCCGTGACGAAGGCGACAAGATTAAGGAACTGTTCCCCTCCTGGCTTTCCTACCGGGAAAGTTAGAACATGTCGGCCATGGCCCATCTACTCTATGCAGTTAGTTCATCGTCGAAGATCCGTTCTCGGAGAATTGTATCTTGAACTACTTCACTTTGAATCGTGGTGATAGGTATTTAGAGACAAGGAGTAACTCACTCCACAAACTGGAAACTCTCACTCGCTCAACTCCAAGCTCACGAACAGCCTGGGTCTCTCGGAATCAGGCACCGATACGCGTATTTCTCACTATACCCACCACTTTGCTCCCTCCGCCTCCTCTCCACCCAGCATGATCTCCCTAACCTTTGACTTCACCCCATCACACCCAATAACCGCATCCGCCTCAGCCGTAGTCCCGTCGCCAAACCTCAACACCACCTTCCCCCTCACCCGCTCAACCCCTTCCAACCGCTTCCCAAACCGCACCACCCCCTCCGGCACCATCCCCATCAACACCTCCAACCACCTCGCGCGATGCACCGCCCCATGCCCCTCCCCACCCGTCGCAAACACCCTAAACACCGGCTCCAACCCCCCCCCAAGTAAATCCTAAT